TATAGTTGTCACCCATTCAACTGTTATAACTAAGTTTTTTCTGAATGCACATTTAGCGCGTAATGTGATTAGTCTAATATCAGTCTGTCTCGTATACGATATATGAGATTTTGAAATGACATGAAAGTGGAAAGTGGTAGTCAGAATTGAACTATATATTTAGTGCTAAGCGTAACGTATTACAACGAACTAATTTTCTTCACCTAATATAAAGTGTCAGGCTATATACGTTACAATATTTCGTACTGATTCTCTTTCATTCCCAAGTGTCCGAGTACTTTTTGCACTTATACAGGATCACGAAGATGACTCATGCGACTGGAGCCAGTTGCGTGGAGACAGGAAGTGAAAGGGTCGTGTAAGAGTGCTATGTAATACTGTGGATGCGTTTAAATCGCAAAACAGGTTCGGGAATATGGGAATTAAAGTACAAAATGGCCGAGCAGTCTCTCGGGGTATCACTGAAATTGGAACGACAAGAGAAATAAAAGGAAAATATATGTGAATAATATTTTTCATTTACATATTACGTGAAAAATTAATATAGGACGCTTTCAGAACTAAACAGTCAGTCAACTCGAATAAAAGAGAAGGTCTAATAAAAATTTAATATGGTTGAAATATCTCCTAAATATAATATTTTGTCTCCTACCAAATTTATCTTTTTAATCTCAATTTTCCCACTCTATGGTAATATAATTTTAACATGTTATAAAATGTTCTGTTTATCGTAATATATTTATATATATTAATCGTACATTCGCAAAAATTGGCATTAATTGTATATGCATTGTACTTATATAATTTTTCTCAAATAATATATAATTAATTTCTCTATCTCTGTTTAATATAACAATATAAAAAAGTATGTGCGCGCGTGTTTGAACGAAAGAGCAAATTAGTAACGTGAGTGAAGGATTTTTTTGAAATATATTAGAAAAAATTGCACAATACACACACAGAATAAATTCTTTTTAAGAACAGACCAGAATATTATCATCGAGATTCACAAAGTATCACGTAGACTTTGGAAAAAATGTCCATTGAATAGAAACTGCGTAATCAAGGAAAAACCGAGAAATGAAAAACTCAAAAGTTTATCCACGAAGAAAAGTGAAATTTTGTCGATTAGTCTAATTTATGTTTGTTTCAATTTATTGGTGGGGCAATATTGGCATTTATAAAGCCCACCTTTCAAAAATTGAAAGTTGAAGGTAAATAAGTATGATAGAGAAATGACGATATTTCCGTTAATTATATATAAATAGTTCATATATTTTTGAATACGAGAAATTATTTACGTCCAACTCCATCTAGAATTTGGAAGTTGACATAACAATATAAAATTGTGAGCGTGAACGAAAGAAAGAGTTAGAAAATGCGAGTGAAGAATCAAGGAGAGTGTTGTTGACAATGTACCGCACGACACACAAACCGCTCGATTATCTATATTGTTATATCAACTTTCATACTATAGATGGAGTCAAACATAAATAATTTCTCGTATTTAAAAATATAAACTCCATTTATATACCATTACTTATTATAATTGTTGGAAACATTATCATTTATATGTAAAAAGAATGTTTTTGAAATCTCTGAAAGGAAGTTGATCATATTTCTATATTCAGTAAATCCATAAAATTGATACATTTCAAAAAAATTGTAGTGAGGAATAGAAAGTGAACTAGAAAGTATAGAAGATAAGTGAAATTTTGTCGACTAGTCTAATTTATGTTTGTTTCAATTTATTGGTGGGACAATATTAGCCCCACCATTCAAAAATTATATAAGAAACGTATGCATAGGGAAGAAGAAATGACGATATTTCCAATTATATATAAATAATTCATATATTTTTGAATACGAGAAATTATTTACGTCCAACTCCATCTAGAGTATGGAAGTTGACGTAACAATATAAAAGAGTGTTAACGAAGGAGCGAGTTAGGAAACGAGTGAAAAGGACGTTCAAAGGAGAGTGTCGTTGATATGCCGCACGTCACGTGGTTCACTCGATCATATTATTATGTCAATTTTCACGCTCTAGACGTTGTGGAACATATAATGTCTTTCGTATTTAAAAATATAAATTACAATTATATTGAGATACACAATTATATTAATGGAAACATTACAGTATTGAGCAATGTTTAAACAATTTTTAATAGGTAGGGCTTTGCAATGCCCGCATTGCTCTACCAATAAATTGAAACAAACATAAATTATCTTACAAAAATGACTGAGCTAATGAACTAAGTGTTTTATTTTTCAAATTTTTTGTTAATTATATATAATAATTTTGTAGTATACTTATGCATGAATACTTTTTCTGAAGTCTAACACGATATATTTCGTAAATCTTGTACTGATCTGTAAAAAAAATCCCTTAATAATATATTTCATATATTTTCTATGTCTCTCGTATACTTTATAGAAAATTGATATTTAACTATTCACAATTTGTCATTTTCGGGTTTGACGGCTATAGTTTCCTCGTGCTGTCAATATAAATCCACGGGAAGCGAACGCGCGATTTTTATTCGAGTGGAGCTCGATATTTTCCACAGCGATCGACACGCCAATCCCGAAGCGTGATCTCGCTTATGGTTGCGGCACGCGTGGCGCATGCAGATATTCTCCAGGTGCACTACAGCCGCATGAGGAGGCGTCGTTGCGATCCAAACAAGTAGATACGTCGATGGTAGATACGATGACATATTCCTTCGTGTTCCCTCGAGAAATTCGATATCTGCTCGAGATATTCGATATACGACTCACACGCGACCTTGTCGATGGAATAGATCGACAATATGGAGCACGCGCGCGTAGGTTTAATAATTCCAGTGAGATTACCATTACGCGATTATCGCTCATTATCAGCTACGAGTCTGGAAAAGACTTCTGAGAAGGATCCCGACAAGGATAATCAAGGAAATTGAAAATAGTCAGGAAGTATCGCGGAAGAAATTACTTATACGAAAAATGAGAACTTTATTGCCGCGGTTGTTGTTGCATATCCGATGTAAAAGTAATCGAACTTCGCTACCTGCATAGCAAATTATTTGATATTACAGCGAAACGTGGTTTATATATTGAAAAATCTCTTACTGAGTAAATTTGTTCGCAGAATCCGCTACTAAAGCAAATTTAATTTGAACGCTAAAACGAAATAGGGTCTATCTCTAAATAATAAATATTGTTGTTGCAACGAAGTAATTTGCTGGTATACGGCTGCAATGCGCGAGCCTTGAATGATACTGCAATTTTTATACGTCGTGGCGTGAAATTATAGTTCCTTCCGATGCGGTTTTATGGGATCTTATAATAATCACTTCGCTCGAACCACTGCTGGAAACGATCATATCACGACACCGGATATAATGAAATTAATATGCGGCGGTAAACGAACGGCTAACTGTTCACAAGTATCGCTGTGCCTTTTTGATATGTTAATGTATTAACAGAGGATCTCGTCTGTAATTATCGTCAAACATTATCGAATGATATAATTAGTCACTTGAGTATTATGGAACGACGTAATTATGCTATTACACTTTTCTAACGACTTCCTGTTTGTTGCCGCAAAGTTGCCGTAACTGACATCAACGCGTCTCATTTCGTCCTCAATGTCCATTTTTACATGTAGATTAATTTCAATCTCGGTTTAATTTACTCTTTCTTTTTTTTAATTGTTAAGACTAGAAAAAGACGGAAAGTAAGTTAGACCGAGAATGATCATTAATAAAAATAGACATAGAACAAATAAGCTAGAGATCCACAGTTTTTCAATTGTTAATGTCTCTTTTTAAGTGATCTGAATACACGCTGTGGAATCTTTAATTGTTTTTTATCTCGATTTAACAATCGACTTCCTCATCGATATGCAGTCTATTTTTTCTTGTGAAACATATTACTAAGCAAATACATTTTTTGGAACAATTGGAAACGCTCTAACAAAGACCGAAGTTATTAAAATGTCTTAAAAATTAACATTGGGATTTAGAGATATTTTTTATGCATAGAAAAATATACTTAAAATGTAGATGAGATATGTCATATTTTTATATACGTAAGCTCTGTATGAAAAATACTTTTACTTGTTTGGTGAAATGAAACGTTTCCATTACGATTTCACTGCAAAAATGTTGACGTTTAAATGATTGGATGAGATTACAGGCTACTATCGATCGAATGAAATGAGTGGGTTTATGTCGTCATCTTTAGCGTATTTTAATCAAGTCAAATTCGTTTTTGTCTTTTCTTCGAAGTAACATATTTGTCTGCAAATTGAATTAGTCTTGCGGAAATAGCAATAATGTAAAATTCGAAATAATAAATCATTTGCATAAAATAAATGCGAGGTAAAAGTGGGATATAAAAAGTAAGGTAAATTTGTAAAAGTATGAAAAAGTTCAACATTATTGTTAATTGGAAAAATCAGAGAACATCCTTATGTGATTTTTTTTATTAATAACTAATTAATCGTTCGAACGATTTTTGTTCTCCTGTCTTCTTTTTCAAAGAAAATAACGTTTTTTACATTTACGTTTATGAGTACGTGACCTATCTTATAAATAAATATTTACTGTATAATGGTCGATAAGTTCGCTATATTACCTGGCAAGAAAGTTTACGTTTAATGGGAAAGGAAAATATAACGCTTATTTATATCAAAGAAAAATACACATACTTTGTATACTTTAGTTATGTAGTAGGAATAATGTACTCAGTCGTCTGTTTGCATCTTTTTAGCTTTCATTCGCTAAATACATTTCCTTTTCGTAAACGAAGCCAAGAATTTTTTTCTTATAAATCAGGTAGTTCCGTAAAGCGAATAAACTACTTGGCGCATTCTGCCCGTCAAAGATTTAAATTCACGCGAGTAGGTACATGTTTATCGGGGCGGAAAACGTTTTAACCACCCCGTTTCCGCTCCTCCCCCTACATGCAGCTTGATGCAGCGGCTTTCAAATATTCTCTCTCACTTTGTGTTGCAGGCGGTGTCGGAAAGGCTCGAATTGGCACCAGCTGGCGGGAGATCAGAGCCTCAGGTGAGTATCGTGAGAGACTTCGGTCTAGCCTTATTCCCGGTTCGATGAAAACACCACAAAATTATATGTCGCAAAAATTTCTTCTTGTTTCGACTCCTTGTTATTATATTTTTTGCTTAAACAAAATATCTTTTTATATATTTAATTAATTATTGAATATAGATTTTTTAGAATTAAATTTGTTAAACGCGTATTAAAGATTTAGATAGATTGTTAATATAAGAAGTAAATTTCTGTAGAGAACAGTTACAATTTTTTTCGTATTAACTGACAAAATATGTATGTTAGTGAAAAAAAATGTACATTTCGAAGTAAAGTATGTCGTCACCTATGCCAGGCAACTCTTGATCGATAAGAAAAAAGCAATAAAAGTATATTGGCTATTATAATATTTGTTTACCGATAAACAGTGATCTGTTAATTAAGACAACTAATTGGCTTCCCGAAAAGCGAAACACTTTGATGAAGTTGTGACTGAGCCAAATGTGTTTTCCGCTTGGAGGCTAACGCGTGCCTTTAATGACTATATCTTTCCTCAACACGAAGGTCGCTACCTTGTGTGAACCTGGTGAGGTATACCTTGCTCAACATATGGGAGAGCAGGGTCGATGGGTTTCCTCGACCGATAAGAAGAGCTGCATGACGGATAAGCTGGAGATTCTGGAGTATTGTAAGAAGGTAGGAAAAAGTCTATAAGATCACGCAACCATTAAATTCTTTCACACGTATAATAATGTCGGTGATCGGCGTTAGGCATATATAGTTGATTATAAAAGTTATATATAGACATTAAAAATAGATCTCTGACATTTTTCTATTACCATCAAACTTTCTAGCTCTCCTCTTTGCATTTTTTCCTTTATTCTACGAGAAACGCTCGTAAATATTTTGTCAACGAGATTGTTCGAAGCTCTTAAGAGAAATATTAACGATTCACCGTAGTCTCGGTTACGTAAGCTAAATTCAAAGCCGAGACTCAGCAAATTATTACTTGCCTTTAATTTCGCAGAAATCTTGTTTCAAAATTAGCAAGGTTCTATTTTTGTCTTTTATCAATGCAACTCATTTATCGTTGTTACACGCATGAGAAATACTAGGTCTTGTCGCGTTTTTCTCGGGTATTAAACGAGGTAGCTTGTTTCTATTGAAAAGATTGATAGGAAGAATTAATGATGGATAATGACGTATCACGTGCAATTTACATTCCGAATCTTTAATAGAGCACGGTGAAAGGTAAAACTAGCTTATAAATTACTGGATAATAACGTTCTCCGTCTCGCTTATATGTGGCACGTTCACGCAATCCACTGTGTGTATGAGACAGAGACAAGTGTGCAGTTTGCATATGCGTACGTGCTCATATTTGCTGATGCACGAGCGTGAAAAGATATTGTTGCCTCGTGTGTCGGGTGGCGATCGATAAAAATCACTGCGTTCTGCTCTCGTTTGGGAAACATCAAAATGTAAATTGTTCGAATCGATGTTTAAATTATTAAACGAAGTCACAGAGGATCGAGACTGAACTCTCTTGAATCTTCCTTCTCTCGACTATTTAAAGAGAAAATCGGGCCACTCGCGAACGAATTATTAATTAAGGCTGAGCGTGTTATTTAACATCGCGCCCGGCGCGGCGCGGTGCTTCCGTTGCCCTGCAGGCAGAATTAAGTCGTTTATAATCTTCCGGAGCCGCGTAAATCGAATTTTCATCCCTTCGTTGACGCGCTTTAGTCGCGACAAAACACAGAATTACGCGGTTCGTTACCTTTCCCGCCATTCCACCGTAAAAATGGCACCGTTAATCTTCACCGATGCGATGACTTTATTGCACGAGATTGCACTGGTCCACAATCGTTTGCGTCGCAAATTATGTCGTGCTTTGCTTAAATACGTTTCTTCGCGTTAATACGTGAGAGCTCGCTATAAGTACGGTATTCGCGTGCCATCTAATCTTTCCTCGTTGATAACTCGCGAATACCTTCGTTTAATCCTTCATAAAGAGATTAAAAGAGAGGAGTTTCCGAAGATCCAGTTATTTGAATCTCCTTTTAAATTGCTCATTACAACATAAGTCAAGAGAAATTCTTACCGAGTCTTAAATTTAAATTAAAATTTTTTTTAATTAAGATCTTACGATTCTTCAGTTTAAATCAAGTTTAGCAAAATTATAATGATCCCGAATTTATTTGTATTTTCTCTGTTTCATTATATTTATTTTATAAATAGGAACAAAATTGATGAACAACTTGAATAAAAGTAAACCCTTTATGTATTAATTTTGAGATTTGATTATAAAGAAGATATTTTACATTGGTACAATTACTTTATCGTTGTTGAAACTAACGTCGTACCATCTGAGGCTTATTAGGTTTAATTCGCACATTATGCGAACACGACGCAACGTCGCGAAATGGCTCGCGGCGTAAGAACGTGCGTTTTTGCGGCCTCTTAAACGGAGATTAAACAGTCGCTCGTTTGCGATAATAATAGGTTCGCCGAGTATGCGTGTATACTCGATAATTACTTCTGGGCGCACGATTGCAGGCTGGTCGGACCATCTGCTAATGCGGTATTTCCAGCAGATCCCTAATCTGTATCTAATTTTTTTTCTTAGGCTTACCCGAAGAGAGACATCACCAATATCGTCGAGTCGTCGCACTACGTCAGGGTGAACGGATGGTGCAAGCCCGGAAGAACCAAATGCAAGCTCTCCCGATGGGTCAAACCTTACAGATGTTTGGGTGAGTAATAGTTTTAATTAGTATTTTTGCGCCAGGTATTGAAAATCTGTACTCTATAAAAGTGAAAATCAGTGTATTCACTTATAACTACGATATATCAGCGATCATTTACTGTTCTTCAGTGTAGTAACATACTGATTCATTTTTAGAAGTTATGATTTCTACAGATTGAATCTGCGGAAAATCATAACCTCTAAAAGTTTTTAGTATATTATAATATTGCTGAAAAAATAGTAAATATTCGCTGATGATTACATCAGTTATAAGTGTAACATTGAAATCGCAGTATAATAATATATTGATTCACTTTTAGAGAGTAGGTGATTTTTGGCATCATTCAAATATAACAACTAAAGTGTATCAAGCTGTATCATGCAGAATATTTTCACCTGTTTGATCATTAGTGATAGAAGCACAACTAGCCGTTTAATTTCTCTTATTGTCACTATGTCTCTTCTATTATACATCACGTTAGAAATAAGAAATCAGTTTTGAATAGTATTACATTCGTGCGTATGAAGAAAACCAGTAGTTTTAACATAATAGTACGTATACATAGATTATCAGAATAAGTTCTACCAGTATCAACATCCATCAACAACAACCCTGGTATCAAACGATCACTATAAAAATCTTCTATCGTATGTCAATCTTTCGTATGTGAGTCTCTATCGTCAGTGGCAAAAATGTCCCTTTCGCGCATAATTAAATATTGAATCTCTATATAATTTTAGTAAGTTAAATTTTCACAATGTGTAGGCGAGAAAGAAGGTCAAGCCAATTTTCACGTGTATCTGTATTGTGATCAATCTCAATTTGGGTCAAAATATAAAACAGTAATCTGTCACGGATATCACGTGAGACACGGAAAACCGCGAGCTGTCTAAACGGGATATCGAAATCAATATAATAATGTAACTGTCAACATATATATGTCAATACCATCAGTGTGGGTTTCTGTTTATGACAATATAGTATGGATCTCAGTCTCAATATTCGCCGCATTGATTTAGCTGGGGCTGATAGCGGGCTACCATATACGTTAATATCAGTTTGGTAGTCGTAAAAATTCTTGCGAGAGACTCGCGGCAACTTGGATTCTCGGCCTGAAAATTGTAAAGAGGAGGCCATCGCAAGAGAGCCGGACGAACCGGACCGATCGATCGATAATGCGGCAGCGGCAGCGCGGCCGTGAGAAACGGAGAGATCGATCTCCTGGCAGCGGGGATTTAGTTATAAATTTAGCAGGACGCTCGATCTGCTCCGGACGGAAGAATTCAATTTGTAGAGTCAATACGCTGTGTAACGGACAACGCGATATCTGCTGTCGGATTGTCTGCCTGGCTGCCTTCCTTGATCAGCCTTTTTATCGCGCGCTGAAGAACGAAAAAACTATCACGTGACGTCGCACAGCAGTGAGATTCAAGATCGCACTTACTTTCCTTTTTTCCCCTCTCCTTCCATCCCTGAGTGTATGAGTACTTGATTCTCGATGCCAACTGACAAGTATCTTCTCGAAGCGACTGTAACTTTATTGTAACTCACGAGCTTCCTTCCATGCGATTGAATTCAGTGCAAGAAGATGGATAGAAGTAGATTTGTAATTTATTAAGTCTATTTTATGTACGACGTTAATTAAAGTGGACCTTATAAATCATAAACTTACTTCGCGGAACTCTTCCATTTGCGAGGAATACTTAATTGCGGAATATTCTAAATCGAATAACGCGCGAGAAGTTTGAAGAAACGTAGGAGAAACATGAGACATTCGTTAAGACGAGAGAAGAATGTATTTGTACAAGGAACATCTTGCTACTGCAGAATATAATATGTTGTTTTATTTTAAACGAGCTTTAACATAATTTTAATTAGAGCAGTAAACGCAAATGTATTTAATTGGAACCGGGAAGCTATAAAGAATAAATAACTTTCTTCTGAAATTTCTTTTAAAAATCTACTTTAAATTTGTCTTAAAAATCGTCATTAAATTCTGATTCAATACACGACGTATTTTACAAACAATATTCAACGTTCATTTTTTTTTTCTATTTTAAATATCTCTTTATCTACTTTTAAATACCATTAAAATGATTAATTGAACCAAAACGTGAATGGAGTAACGACACAAAACACATCTGTCGTCAGTGATGTATTCTCTGGAGTGAGATCTCATAAGTAGACGATGCGACAGTCATTTATTCGTGCACATTCAGCAGGACGAGAACTCTGAACCCTTCTTGGTATCATTTGTTTCAAACGTGCTAAGATCCATGAACGTCAAGATCCATGTCTCATTTTCTAATCGTGTTAGATAAATGCTATTGTTCCGGTATGCTGGTCACGTGTAGATGGTCACGGTCATTCCTCGCGTCTTAAGTCGCGTGTTTCACATCCTATAAAGCTTCATTAACCACTCCTTTATCGAGCGGATTCATAAAAGAACCAATCATGCAACGTCAGATTTTTTACTGTATATAATTGTCTTGTTTTAACAATACACTTGAAACACTTTTTGCAATTGTTTACTTGTCTTTACGTAACTTCTGCCGAACTCTTTCGTGGAAGAATGATATGTGTATTTGGACAAATCAGTGGTTAATACCCTCGAAGAGTCTGCATGACTAGTTCTATTGATCAGTACTGGTCAATGTATAGATGCGTCATTCGCCAGACACGTGTCTATATTCCGCTCTGTCTCTTCTCTCTCTCTCTCTCTCTCTCTCTTTACTTTTCCGCATTTTCCTATCACGATCTATCATGAAAGAATAACAGATATTTGAACAAATATGATATACTGTTGAAAAATTGTTACTATTCTTTTTGCACTGAGCTTTGTGAAATATTTGCAAATATACGACATGCAGATTTGCTTGTATATTCTTAATCATTTGTATACGTGTACATAAAGTGTCTCGACATAAATATTTTAGGAGCAGATTCTCCGATAAATCTTTAGGAAAACTTTTAAGAGAGGCCATTACTATGCTGAAACTTTTTAATATTCAACATTGAGTGACTTGATAATTAAACCTGGAATTAAAATTCTGAGAAAGTGCTCTTGAATTTAAATGAACAATAAAGTCTCGTTATTTGCTTATATTTTAAAAGCGTAGTTCGAGAAGAATTTTTCATCTTAAATTGTTTATTACTTGAAGACTTATTATCTTGACATTTTAGTTAAAAAAAAAAAATCCCTTCTAGACCGTGTAAAAGAATCTGTCGTTAAAATTGCAGTTGAAAATTTTGAAGGAGAGTCGGATGGAACTTGATATCTAAAGAATCTAAAAGGGCAATAATATAAAATTAAAATATTGAATGTGCAAGATTTATTTTAGATGAGCATATATAAGGTTCCACGATTGGAGGGAATCCCTTACACGCGGCGGGCTCTCGCTATTGATTTCAGGCATTTCATATATTTCGATATATGCGCACAGGTATATAAATAGTCATCGGTAGATTCGTGCCCCGATTGCCAATATAATTCGTAGAATTCCCTCTTCGTAGAAAGAGATAGGGTAGAGACAGATTGCATCGTCGGTCGGAAATAGCGAATAAGAATAAATACCGGCGATGCGCGATCTTTACTGATTTATCGAGCCTTCCCTTGAATTCGAGTCACTGCAATATGTACCATTTTCTACTTTCAGAGGGACCTTTCCAGAGTGACGCACTTCTTGTGCCGGAGGGCTGTCTCTTTGATCATCTTCATAATCAAACAAAATGCTGGGAATCTCACAGGTAACGAGTTTATATGTGTGTGAATATCATGTGCGCTAAACGGAATTAATTCTCGAGTGAATTTAGATTCACGATGTCGCGTTTCGTCAAAGCGACCAAGCGATTCGAAAGAAATAAGCACCTTTCATTTCTTCGCGTGAAGACACATTCGATTCAGTTACTCCGATATGACACAATAATCATATAGTACAGTTATCATACATATAATCAATTAAATTTACTATTAATTATATTATTAGCGAGTATTTATAAAAAACAGGTTTTCCCTCGTTTTCGTTTCTTTTTTACACATCGTACGCGCTATTATATATTTATTTTACCATATTTATTCAGTCGATCTTATTGTTCTGTTATTCCATCATACAATTAAGGGCTACATTTAATTACTTCGCTAACGAGTGACGCAATCTGCTATCTACCTGTTATCATACATGTTTATTTTACGCCGACGTAAAATAAACTAAGGTGTATTTTACGTCGATGGAGACGGATCGTTATCAGGGCCTATTTATCCGTGTCGTAGTAGATGAAGAGCGTGTGTCCTCCTCGAGTACATGTGACTGCATCAAGTGAATTCGCATTTCCAGATGGAATGCCACGGCGGCGGAGACCTGCCGGGAGCGAAACATGAATCTGCGTAGCTTCGCGATGTTGCTGCCGTGCGGTATATCTCTGTTCTCCGGCGTCGAGTTTGTATGCTGCCCGAAACACCTGAAAGGTACGTAACGTACGTATGCACTGCCTTATCACCATTCATTCGTGTTCTCATTTCACGCGCGCGTGGAAGACGCGGCGAATTGTGCGGATCTCGCGGATGAGAAGGGACGAAGGGCGGAGAAGCGAGCGCACGAGGAAACGAGCAAGCCATCACGTATTTTCGTATTCGCGAGAACCGCACCGGCACTCACGTTCATCTTCATGCATATTCTATCGGTGCGAACGTTTCGCTGCGTCCGCATCTCCATACCAAGACAACCTTTTCAGACGCGAGCTCGCGAGCTCGGGTGTCTTCTTGGCGCGAGGTCATCTTACTATAAAGTGGAAATACTTGTGTGACGATCTTATTTCAAGATTTAACCCGTGAGAATCTTGCCTATATTGTGCTTTCGATATAACAGAATTAAATTGCATTTAGTGTGTAATTGTTTGTTACATCAATTCTATATAATAACAAAATGTAACTATAATAGTTTCCTACGTATACATAAATTACCTGTGGATCCTTTTATGAATTTCGGAAAATAGCATTTTTATAAATTTTTGTTAAATTTGAATAAGAATTCAAAAATAGTGTTTATTTTTTGAAATAAGATTTTCATATTACAACTTTTAATTAAGGCTAGGGCTGTTTTTCAAAATACACTGTCAGCGAAGAAAATGTGACATATTACGTTACTGTATATTTTGAGCACTGACAATGAGTTTTGGAATACAACCTAATTTATTATATGAGCAAATAAACAGTAGAACGATGAAACAATAAACAGTCTTGTTGAATGTGAAATTCATCGATCTATAAAATACACTAATTTTCGCGCTTGCGTTTGTCATTTACTTTGATGATACCATCAAACTCCTTTTACGTTTTGTAAGTTGTCAAACTTTTCAATGCTCAACGTTATTTGATTTTTGCTTTGATACCACACCGCACTATTATTTCATCGTTTTTCTGTTATTTTTCATTCTGTTGAGCGGAGCGATTAATAGAACGCGTGTCTATCAAAAAGTATATTGGAAGAGAAAAGACGATGAAGAGAGAGAGAGAGGGCATGAATATTTACGACGAATTCACGGCGTATTTATTGCATGGTGGAAATACTCGGCATTTACGTTGTTCGTTTCCAATCGACTGTCGCAAAGAACAAAGAGAAAGAGAAAGGGAGAGAAGAGAAGAGAGAAAGAGAAGGAACGGCTATAGGAGGGTGCAAAGAGTGTATTAAGCGAGGGGTACTACCTACTTCGCCACGTCTCCTTCCTCGTTTCCTTCCAGCACCCCGGGTGGCTCGTGCCACCCTTCGCAAGCTCTCTGTCTTTCTCTCTTTCCCCCTCTCTCTATGTACATATATCTCCATCTTTCTCTTCCTCTCATCGCAAGCTCTCTTGTCTTCTCTCTCCCTCGTGCAATCAATAATGTTCGCCACCGACGTTCCCGACGACTGCGCAACGTAACACGCCGTAGCTTTCGGCGTCGCTGCGCAACTTTTCTTTCCTATACACCACATATATAATGGGCTCGATTAGCACACACGGTGTGCTGTTCGTTTTATCCGCTATGTACCACCCGCTTCAATCCTATATTACACTCCATTATTTTCAGCATAGGTAATGTAACTTCGGGAGATGACGTGTCGTTCGAGGAGTGAAAAATGGGCTGCACGGCGGCGTACGTCAAATAAAACCGAGATACATGTTTAGGGTATTACCACTAGTCACGCGGACATTTGGTAATTGATGCGTTTGAACAGAACGTGGAATTTTCATTCTTTTGGAAACTTTGCTCAGTAAGCTTTAACTTATTTTTATGGTAAAATTGAGTTATTAAAAACAAGAAAATTTATACAATAATAAGTAATACTAAATCGATATATGTAAATGTATAACTAAATTAAAGAAAATCTTATCATAACTCTCTCTCTCTGAATTTTAATAATATTGTGATGTGAGTTTCTATACATATACAATATATTTATATTGAAAACTCAAGTTGCTTCAAAATCCTCTTTCTTGAACTCTAACGCATAAAAACTCTTATTATTTGCACAAATATCATCATGAGCTTTTGATGAAAAATATAGGCTACTGTGTTTTAAATGTGCTTACAATCAATACTTAAATATCAACAAGTTTGTTTATTAAGGTGAATAAATCTTAAAAATTAAATGTTTACATTTTGAAAAGAGTCTTATATGCGAGTACTTTAAAATATGCAACTTTAAGATTTTATAGAATATGTCGATTTCATATCTTTCGTTTCGTTGGTATTGATAACATTGAATTTCCGTCATCCCTCTCTATTCGGCACTTCTCCGATCGATCCCGGATAAACTGCGTTCTCGTGAGGAATCCATAACTCTCTATGACGAACAATCGTGACATAAGGCATCCCCGGAGAAACTGCCAACGCATGCAGTTATCGCATATCTACCGTGTGACCCAGATAAAAGGACGACACAGGAGGATATGGTCAGGAGGGGCTTTTGTCTGCCTTTGCAGAAGTCAAGAAGTCGTCTCATCAGAATACCTATTCTCAACGAATGAGACACATCTCTCGAGAACCTAGTTAGTCAAGATGCATCCCGCTTCCCCTCCAAGTAACCCGGCGAAATTACAATGTCTAAACTGGGAAGATGCAGAACCAGAATGAGAATACAATTCATTTTGCCTATAGTTACGACACATATGAATTTCGCGAGTGGCAATTCTGATAATTTTTATGCTAATTTAATTTTAAAATGTTATAATTTATGTCTTTTTCTGAATGAATTCCTCTGTCTTCCTAATTCTTCCTAATTATCTTTTACAGGATAAATATTCGTCCCTAGACAACATTTTGCTGTTTATGTCGGAGGAGTTGAACTGTCTTCGGTCGTCGTGAATTATATCCACGAAACTGTCAAATTAAATTATACTGTCGTATCGCCGTCCTTTTCCGAGTATATCGATAAATAATCAAGTGATCGGTGACACTGGCAGTGTATCACTGGCGCGCATTGATTTAGATTATGGGCCAGAATTCCGCGGAGCTATCTGTGGCCAGCCCAATCCCGTCCATTTACTATTCAAACAATGGCAGTCGATATACTGGAATGTGCGCGCAGACAGGAATTCCAATAATTGCACCTACCGCGTCACGTACGTATATGTACGTACGCGACGTGTGTATGTACGCCGAATCGTTATCGTTAGAACGAAAGAAAAGAGAAGGCACTTTCGCATAATCAAGGATGAGTGCAATATCCAACAGTATTAATTAAACGATCTTTATTTTCTTTTTCTTTATGCAGGTTTTTTCGTGTTGTGGCGCAAGTGCATACTGGAGAGTCTATTTTCAGACCAATTGTCGTCATTATGTGCTTATGTAACGATGAATCATATAGAACGCAAGTGCAGCAAAGAATAACATGCGAAATACTGATCTCTTTGTAGAGAACGTGAAGGTAAAGAAGCCGATCGATCTGCCCTTACCGAAGAGCGTGGACGATGATCTCGACGAGGACGAAGACGATATCGATGACGAAGATGACCTAGACGGCGACGCTGAGGACGAAGAAAATTCTGACGATCTCGAAGACGTACTTAGCAATCAACCTGAGGAAGACGAAAGCGAGGAGGAGTACGATGATCTCGATGATTACGACACGACTACCAGGTAGTTATAAGTAGTACAAATCTTTTTTGTTAGATAGTATCTACAAATATTCTCTGCGGTCATTTTAATAAATGTCAATAAAATTTCACGCGTGTGCGCGCACACACACATTGAATCTTGTTTATTTCTCTTTTATTAAAAATAATTTTTTTTAAATTAATTAAATCTAAAAGATAGTTGAAATTAGTTAATGTAAGATTCAGCGTGTATTCTAAATATAGAAGTTTGTCTAAATATAGAAGTTAAATATTTGTTGTAAACTTGTTAATGAAAATCAGTCGATTATCGACGACCATCTCAACAACGGAGAAAGCCAAACAGGATGCAACGGCGATGCCGCTGCCAGTCAGCACGAGTACGCAGCAGCCCTCACAACCGCAAGGCACTCCGGATCCTTATCTGACGCACTTCGATCCACGGTCCGAGCATCAGAGTTACAAACAGGCTCAAATGCGACTTGAAGAAGTACATAAGGAGAAAGTTACGAAAGTAAGTTCGATTAATTAAAATGAAAAAAAAAATAACGAGGTAACGTTAGCGCGTATCGTACTGTATATCTTCACCTATTTAGGATACCGTATATCTTCACTTATTTAGGAGAAAGCAAAGATATGACTGTGATACGTCGAGTTGAGATACTAAAACTTATATTCGAGATAAAAAAGTTGTGAGAGAAATGGAGCTTTTGGAAGACAAGTATTATGGCGCGGGACATTGGTGTCGAAATCTTTGTGCTACAACGCTTTCAGGTGATGAAGGATTGGAGTGACCTCGAGGAGAGATATCAGGATATCAGAGCCCACGATCCTGTTGCCGCGGATGCTTTCAAACGCTGGATGACGGCGCGATTCCAGGAGACGGTTGCTGCGCTCGAGGAAAGCGGCGCTGCGGAAAAGCATCAGTTAAGCGCGATGCACCAGCAGAGAGTGCAGGTACGTGGAAACGCGTGATATGATACGAATCGTCCTTTTTGAATGTCACCCAACTTTGAAACGTTACGAATTCCAACAAAAAGCGGACGTAAATCGGTTTAGATAAAGTTTTTCAAATTGAAGTTTTACATTAGTTTCTACATGATTTAAAAAGCATTAAACAACTTTTGCGCGCCAATAACCGTGAGTGCTTTTATTTGTTGCTTTATTTTTTTTATTAACAATACGTAGCAATTTGATATTTTTTTCGAGCGACGAATATGTATATTCCATTCTCGATTCCACTATTTATCATGAATATTCAATAATAATCTTTCCTTCACAGGAGGCGGTTAAGCAGAGGAACGAAGAAGCCATGTCGTGCTACACTGCGGCTCTTAACGAAACGCCGCCAAATGTTAGTTTCATGTAATATACATACTTTTACACAAAGAATACTCATCTTTCTGACTAACGATCAATCTATACGTTTTCTAGATGCACCGTATTCAAAAATGTCTACAAAAGCTACTTAGAGCTCTTCACAAAGACAGGCACCACACAATAGCCCATTACAAGCATCTCCTTGACAGCAGCTTGGAACAGGCGCAACGAGAGAAGCCAGCCACTCTGGAGCATTTGGCGGAAATTGACAGGATTACCAATCAGAGCCTCTTGATGTTAGAACGGTAATGTATACGTCAAATGTATATTTTTACTTTTCATATCCTAAATACGCCGTGAATCACGCGATATGTTGCACACAAAGCGATAACGCCACAACCGCGAAAACGTTAGAAGCTCATTTTTTCTTTTCTTATGTTCAGATATCCAGACTTAAGCGCGAAGATTGGTCGTCTCATGGACGATTACGTTTTGGCCCTCAGGAGTAAAGATGAAACTCCGGGATTGCTGCTGGCGATGACGCGCGAAGCGGAAGCAGCTATTCTAGACAAGTATCAGGCCGATGTCACCAGCAAACAGCAAGGTATGTATAGCAAACTCATCAAGAAAATTTGCACAAACGAGCGTATATTACTTCATTTTGTACTTTACAGAAAAAGAGCATCAGAAACAGCTCGAACGAGCGCGCAAGGAACAACGTAAAGCAGAACGTGGCGAACTACGCACAGAACAAGAACAACATGAGGAGAGCGACTCGGCAATCGATACCAAGGATATTCCTCAGCAATCAGAGCAACCCGCCGCGGTTGCCGCTATGCATAATGAGGGAGTAGTTAGAGCAGCTCACAGCATGACTCACGATGTCTCTCACTCTGAGCCAGTAAGAAAATTTACCCTAACTATAAAGTTTATTTATAAATCATCATACAAGATTTTACTGTTTTCTTATTATTTAGTACTTATTAAATAAATTTGTTATTTTATTATCAAACTCTCTCTCCTATCATACATTGTGACAAAAATAAAAAGATATTTTTACGTATTTATTTAATTTCGCAGGGCTATTCTGTAAGACGAGAAGTATATCATAGAGAAAGTCGATCCGTTTACTTCACACTCGCGTTCGCTGGCATAGCACTCATGGCGGGTGTAGTTGTTGGCGTCGCAGTATTCAAGAGGCGCAACGCGAGAAGCCCTCATAGCCAGGTATATTGTTATATTGAAAGACATATCATTAGTATCAAGTAATCTGTTTACAGTATTTATGTTGTTATTAATCAGAAATAATTGTGCAGTAATTGTATGAGATACTTTAATTTGTGATCTAAACAAAAAATGCATGTAATTGAAAAAGAGTAATGTGTTATAATAATGCACTAATTGATACGTTAATTAATAACACAACATGATAACTAGCATTTTCCATTTCCTCACAGGGCTTTATCGAGGTTGATCAAGCGGCCACGCCCGAGGAACGACACGTCGCAAATATGCAGATTAACGGTTACGAGAATCCTACATACAAATACTTTGAAGTGAAGGAATAATTCGGCCGCTGCCTCGAGAGTTATCACAGATATTTTGATTTTTGAAGCTGGTCGCAACCGCGTATTCGTTCTCGCGTATTTTCTTCAAGAATCTCATAGTATTTTGTTAGAGTAAGATATATATAAATAGTATGTATATCTCTAACCCCCGAGATTCTTCCGAAGATCCGGACTACGTACATCCCGGAAATGCGCAAATTCAGAAAAACGCGTTTCCTAATCGGCAGATCGCACTTGTGACGAGACTATCGCCGTACGCATTGCGTCCGCTTATAGACACCACGGCCACGTGTCGTGGTGCAAATCGATTTTGCGAAGAATTGACAATATATATGTAAAATACAGTTTGTAGCTGGGACATGCTGGATGGGAAACGAAACGGATTCTATGGGAGATAAAATGACGTAGAAAATTCAGCATATACCTATGTGCCATACGAACACGAGTGTTACACGCTATCTTCGGAAGTATCTCATACACACATCGTTTTTGTTACGTTGTCATACATGTCGATATAAAAACGCAGGAAGGAGCGCTCGTGTTATAAAAGTAGAAAACGCCGTTTTTAGACGTACCTCGATGTTCCTCCGCCTCTATACGTTATGCACTTGAACCGGAAGCTCCGCGGATCGATTGACGGCCAATGTTCGGTGGCTGGTCGCTCTCACTCCTCGGGGACAAACGTTTGAATAATGATAGAATGCGTTTACACGGACGATGTGAATGCGTTATCGTTGCGCTCTTTGCTGTATTTTTAGGTTCTGATATTTTCGGAGATAATCAATGGCAATAAAGCAGCTTAAGTACTAAACACGCGAAGAAAAAAAAATACGATAGCGATCGTAGTAGCTTGCCACTGTGGGCAGCATGTAGAAGTAAATACTCCGATTAATGGCGTTAACGTTATGCTAAAATAATTGAGCGCGCAAACGAGCTATGCGGCACTCTTAAAATATCAGAACACACACACACACATACACACGTACACGCGCCATCTCATCGTTGCACGTTTTCACTTCTCTATATCTTCATAATGCAACTGTTTTATTCCCTCCGTCTCCGTTCGATTCCCACTGCCTGGTTTTTCTCGGTAATCTTTTTCAGTACTTAACGTCTAACTTTTAGATAATAAAGAACCTTAAGACGTAAGGAAACTTAAGAATCATTGACGTATCTCAAATTAACGATGACGAGGAAGTAAGATACTCTATCATTCCACGCGAAAGTCCATTTTGTCGAGGTGCTGAGAACGCTAGCATGGAAAATGTTCGGCAGCTTCGTTCGATCTGGTCGAAAAATGGCGCACGCGACGTATCGAACAGGTCATGTCGATGCTGTCGAACAAGAGGAACAGTTCAACCGGAGATCATTTTCGAGTGGCATTAGTACCTCCGACTGTTACGTCGAGAAAGAAAGAAAAAAAGGAAAAGAAAGAAAAAAAACGAAAGAAGCGGTAACTGTTGAGATAAAACGTTTCTTTTTCGTTTCCGCGTTTTGCGTTCTCGGGGGAAAAAAAAAAGGGAAAAAGATCGTTCATACAATAACTATCTTAGGATATTACTAATTATATACGACGACGATGATGATATAATATATTACACGTTTAATGCTTATATATTTGTATATTGTCAAACGATTAAAAAAAAAAAAAAGTAGTAGCCAGCACTTTAGCGCCAGGGTCGCGTGGGGAAGAAGCACAGTTTTTTCTTATTTATCTTGAAATATACATTACGCGTTTTTGTCAAACTTATTTATATAAATAATCCTCGGTGATGCTCGCGATGCGATGCGAATACGCTGCCGCGGTCCATAGAACCATTTACCGTCCCTACGGCCATCAGTGGTCGGTAGTAGCATTCAACTACTACAAAGACCTTAAAAACATCCTCTCTTCATGTAAAAAAAGACATTAAAAATCGCGTAACGTCTTTACGACATCTGAAAGATTAGAATATCTGCGACGTCTTTGCAGGAAAAACGTTTTTTAGGTGTCTAAGAGATTAGAACGTTTTTTTACGTCGTCTTTACGACGTCTATCTATGGCAGCGGCGTGATAAAAGCATAACCATCGCTATCGTTGGTGCACCGTTAATGCACCATTAATGCACGTTCAGGTCGGTTGATCATCGTATCAATACAGCCGGTAATATATGTTCGAAAGAGATGGGATTTTTAGCTCTCGGCGGCGCGCGATGGTTACTATTATAAATTACAATTTAATGCTAAAGAGTCGCTGTTCTGTCTCTTGTGTGAAATAACGCTCCACACGGTCCATGCATGAGTACATACATTCCCAGTTACGTGCTAAGGTGGTCCCCTTCGATTGCGCTCACTTTGCTAGGATTGTATCGCGTGACACGATAATCGCCAGCGAATTAGAGCGATTAAAATAAAATAAAAAAAATTGAGAAGATCCTTTTAGGTATTGTATTCCTAAGCGCACGTGAAGCAGCTGCCTTTCCTATCTATCTAGCGCGAATCTTTGTCACACACACCGATCGTTTGTCTTCACGCAACTCCGGTGGAAAAGAGTGTGTATAACCGGCGACAACAGGCAACAAACAGGATGCAAGACACAGTCACACACATTAAACAACACATCGCTGAATGTTAAAAATATTATTTTAGATATATTGTAAGACGAGATAGCAATTATACCAGTAAATGTACTATGATTATATGAATAACAGCAGATAGCATCAATGCGTTACAATAATGATATAAAATGTCTATTATATATGTATATGTATGTGTGTGTGTTTACGAAGTATGGAGATAATATATAGAAATATATATATACAAATATATGTATATATATACATATATATGGATATACACATGCATATACATGTATACATATTAAATTAAACATTATGTACCTATAGCGTATATAGTCGTTAAACAACATGGAGACAACATCGCATAAAAAAGAAAAAAATCTGACCTTGATACGGATTCACAGATGCTGAAGACCTTAAGCGATTGTAAAAGGACTTATTATTTTTCTAAGGCTCACAAAGCTAGAGCTGCTCTCGCAGAAAGATAGTTTGCGATCATTACGATTGGCCTGTATTGAGGATGATTTGTGATCGGCGTGCGTATATATATACATATACATATATCGTTCGTTAAATTTAATCGCGTATTAAGTGCAAAGCAAGCAGCGGTCTGGAACACTGTATTTCACGTGTATAAGCAAACATGCAAGTCGACTCGCCGATTTTTATCCAAAGCGAAAACGCGTGATTGCGCCATACACAGGCAACAACGGTCCAATGCTCTCCCGATGACTTTTGTAGAAGACATCGGAGAGGTATCAGTATTAGCCAATAGTCGGAGCATATCATGTTTCGGTGATTCGATTGTAGCGGGAAAAGATAGAAGGAGAGAGAGAAAGAGAGGGAGAGAAAAGAAAAAGGTCGGCGTGTGCGCTTCAAGATACTGTGAATTTGCATCGGGCCACCTCCGTACGTATAAGTTTAAGAATTGATTTTTGTAAAGAGGTAATAAGTATATATATATATATATTATATCGAGATAACTGAAACTTAGCTTAAAAGCCATGTGAGACGTGAAGGAGAAGAAAAAAAAAGAGATATACGTCCTTCAAGTCGCAGTCCAGAGATTAGCGAGTCCAGAGACGGAGAAAGAGTATAATAATGATAAAAACTGGACTTTATTTTTACAGTTTTTTCGGTGTCTCCTCGCGTCATCCTCTCGTCTTCGGACGGTTTATCGAGCAGCACGATTATGTGTCCTTGCACTATTTTATCTTTGATTCTAAAAAAAATATCATGTTCGTTGAACCTTTGCGCAACGCGATAACTTGATTATTAAATCCGGGCTTGACCCACGGATCGAAAATCCATGATAATCAAGAATCCGGTTTAGCTTCCGTCATCAAAATGTAAGTTAATTGTGAAATGAAATTCATTCGTATCATTAATGATACGGCCGTATAAAATAGACATAGACGAAGACAGTGCGTGGCGCAAGGGCAACTAATTGCCTCCGTTACGTTCTTATCGTAGTGTACTGAAAATTCCAAACTCTGACACAAATATCAGTATGTGCGGAAGGTTTCGCTTTTTCTTTCTGTGAACAATGGCAATCCGTGAAGAAAACGTTTAATTATATCCAGAGACCAAATCGGTCATAAAGACATCTACAAACAATCATTCTGTGAGAGTATCTGCAGTATGTTGTTAGAATTTAAATTGCATTATTATAATAGCCGATAATTTTACATTTCTTTTAAATACATAAAATAAATTGACGCATTTTACATATATTTATAATGAATTACATATTCTTTATGTATTTTATACGCGTATATAATGTGCATGTGTGCAGCTGACTGATCTTTCGATTTCTGGAAGGATTTTTAGAAGTTGAAGGGTCTAAGGAATGAAAAGGGTTCATTTTTACTTTATTGTATAGATATGTGGTTTTTAGCTTTCTGGCTTAATTCGTTATTCCTGCATTGCAAACCCTTTGGAATTTTCTTTTTTATTATGGCTTGCTGTTGTTCACGAGAGACACAAGGGGGGCAGTGTCAAAAGACTTATGAAAAAAAAAAAAAACGAACTCTCCTCGTCCCTCTTTCTCCTTCGCAGGTATTTCTCCTCGCCGCTCACAAGTTTTAACGCATTATTACACCCCGTGAAAAGAACGTATTGTGTTTGTGGATATATATATGTAATTTTACTTATCAATAAATAAATTATAAAGAATCTCTCGACCGCGTGTTTCATTGTAAAATTTATTTGATACATCTAATGATTTTTTTTTTCACTGATTACATTTCGTCTAAGAAGTTTTATATAATGATAATGCAGAATGTTAATTAAAAGATGTTTCGTACGTATAATATATAATATTATATTATTTTTCATCACGCGTGCACGTAATGTGCCCTATACCTTAACGCTTTTGCGTGCGGTAAATAGCCAATACCTCAAGCCGTTGAATTATTTCTGTAATCCCACTCTTCTGCGCAAAAACGTTGCTGTATAGGGCACATTACGACGAGCACTCTTTTAATGGAAAATTCTACGTGCAGCGAGTGGGGGCATATTTGTTTATAGGTCGGCACGGGCGCACGTGCGCTCGTGCCCGGTTGCGCAATAAATAAATATCCTCCTGCACTGTTACACAATGTGCTATTTATTAGTTGCCGAACAATTAAGGCGTGGAAGAACTCATATCCGTTGTATTTATATCGCTGCGTATATTTAAATAATGTTGCGATACGAGATAATAAAGCCATGTGCGCAACAATTATATGTGCATGTAAACCGATTTGCTTTTCTTATCATCTCCTTATCTTCGCTCGGAATATGCGACACGTCAGCGATCAACACGTGCTTCTATTATTTTTCTCGTCTTTGTCTTATACACGTTTTGCTATCAATACTTCCTAGCTCCTAATTCGTCATTTTCTAAGGAATGAAATTTTATTTCGCGAAGCGATATCACCGGCGCGGCGATGATGTTGCAATATAGAAGTATGTAGATTTATACGTATCTGTACTTATAATCTCACGTTAAAATTACGACGCACGCATTGCGATCGAATCGCTATGAAAAAGCACTTCTCGCTTTAGTGTCACTTTTCCGTGTTTCATGTATTCTTTAATTTCTCGGCGCGATAAGCTTTCTTGATAATTCTGGCGATTATCAGTGATAATATCCGTCCTTCTTCTAAGGTCGACGACAGGCATTGTTGATAAACGTTCAGAGCTTTTTAATCTATATATATTACGTGAATTTCACGCGCGTATGTGATTGTGCTTCAATTGTGCAAATTCCCTTTTTATGCACAGGTAAGATAGAAACGTAACATGATATTGACATTTCAGCTGTAACAAAGCTGTCATTGAAAAGCAACCGCGGTCACTGAACTGAATTTTTTTTAATCCATGTTGTCGCGTCTTCGAGTTCGTCTTATCTCTTTTTATTAATGAACTCTTTCACATTAAAAGTGTCATTGCCAGTTGTTTGTTCAAGCAAAATCTATTGTTCTTATTAAAACGAATTTTTGTTCAATCATATCTCAAGATATATATTTAACGTTAAAAATATATATATAATCAGAAATATATAATTTTATATATTAATTAGTTTGATAAAGATATAAAAAATATTAATAATTAAATCAATTAATTTCAATTAAATTAACTAGAATAGTGTTATTTAATATTTTTATCGTGTTTATTATAAATTATATTCTATTTTATGTATTTCCATTCTTAAATGTATAGTGGGATGGAGCCGATTGGAAAAAAAGTAGTAATTTTTTTGTCTTCATACAATGTTGTTAAAATTACGTAGGCAATTCTTAAAGGATCGTTATATATACATGCATTAGTATCTCTATATATACGTATACAATCCCCAACGCTTTGAAACACAAAGAACGCGCGCGCGCAGAAGTATAAGTTCTTATTAATAAAATGTCAGTCCTCGTCGATTTCTTTGTTTGACCGAGAAATAACATTATTGCGCATCCCACTCCATCCGGTTTGTCCGATGATACTTATATATACGCGGTTTTATTACGTTCGCGGCTTGCGGGACGCGCACTACCAGAAGGAAAAAAAACTGGAGCGCGGTCCCGTTTCGCGCTTCACGTCACGCGCGCGTCGGCGGGTGTCTAAGTGACACTGTCAAAGTCGAGCCGCACGATTCTTCGCGCCGCCAGCGGAATCGATCGCAGCGGTCGCGGCAGCGCAACCGTGAATCGTCGTCGTCGACCCTCGCGGCTCGCGATATATTGGGCGGACGTGAATACCAGTGAATACGATACAATACGATATTGGCGGACGGAGTAACCTCGCCGTGAAGCCGCGTCATCCGCATGATGTACGGCGTCAAGTCACCTATTGACATAGCCACGGCACCAGCGACTGTGCACGTGGAATCATAATCATTATCATCCGTTATGACACGTCCAGGAGTTCACGTTGGGTAATCGATAGTTTAGAATATGAGTAATAGAGTCAAGATTCGTGTTGACGTTAGATTGTTGGCGGTTGATTCGTGAATCTCGGCAGAGAAAGATAGAAAAAGAGAAGAGAAAGAGTGGAGAGAGACAGTGTCATTCCAGTTATCGTTCAAAGAATCGTTCCAAATGTCGACGTGCAACGATGACTTCGAGAGACCGTTCGACTTCGAGCCCCTGCAGTGGGATAACTGGAACACGTTGCGCGAGTTGTGCTGTGCCAACGAGAAGTATTTCGATTCCCACCAGGATAAGAATGGCGTCAGGATCAGGGCTGCCCTCATGGCGATCAGGGATTACCTGACTGAGCTGCAGCCGCTGTACAGGGAGATCGCCAGGTTTGCGCCACACTTCGATTTTGACGAAGACACCCCGGGGAATGGATACAGAAGTTTCCTGTCGTTGGTAGATAAGTGTATCATGTATTCGGAGCTGGTCTGCCGGCAGATGCATGATCAGAAAGACTCCGTGTTTTTCCGAAAGAGCCACTACATGAAGTAATTGTACATCTTACAGATCATATCCTATACCTTTGCTTCTGCGTGTGACAATACACTGTTCCGATTTAATTTGGGTTTCCAGGGAAATAGAAGCGTGCTCTCAGCTATTGGCGTCACTCTTTACATGCTTACAGCAGTTAAAAACAATGTATTCGTGGAGCACAGAAGTAATGAACGATGGAAAGCTGTCACTGTTTCCACTAGATCAGTATAGTACTGAAGAACTTCTCAGTAACGCACAGAACGTTAATCAGTACTGTTTTTATGGCAGGTGCCTCGGATTTCAGGTACTTGCAAAGAATATGTAACATTTGTGCTTAAATCGAATTCATTTAAAGTGCTTATTTGTCTAAAACTTTTTTTCAGTTCTGTGATAGTTTAAGACATGTATTAAAAACATTGTCATTCTTCATGGCGTCCTTCAGCGAGGTGTACTACAGCAATGGTACCCTACTAGGGCTATGCACTAATTCTATTAAGTATTTATTAGATCCCGAAGCAAGAGCACGTCGTATTGTTAATATATCTCAGCACGCTGACATTTCTTTCTGTCAAGCATTTTGGTTTCTAAGCGAATCTGGTAAGGAATAAGAAATTGTGACTAAAAATATTAAGTAAAAATATTTTGCACACACATGAACATTCAATGTTCTGCATTTAAAGTTTTGTATGCAATAATAAAGATGTCCATTTAGATAGAATTATTTCATTCGTATATTCAATTAATGGAATTTCTTTGATTTCCATTTCAGCATTAATGAACATGATAAACACCTCGAATTTAGCAATCAATCAGGTAATATCTATTCCGCCCGAAGAATTAGTTCTATCTACTTTAGATGAAGGAACTGTCTCGATTCCAGTACCAAATAGTCACATCGGGAAGAAACCAATCCACGTTAGATTATTAAGTTCCAAACGACGCCTAGGAATGGTACATAAATAATTAATATGCCTATAGAGTATTGAAAGTACTGTATGTGCGCGAGCGCGTTTTATTTAATTAATTACATCGTTTTATTTAATTAATTACATCCTACATTGAGATACAAGTCATGTAACTTAGAATTTATAAAGAACTTTTTTATCTGATGATAGTGGATGTTTTTCATAACATAATTTTTATAACATTGTTTCAAGGTTGGATCTGGAGGTGTAGGCGGAAAATTATGCGATCTATGCGACGAATTAATTATTCATACTCATGGGGGTGGATTTGTTTCACAAACTTCACGATCGCACGAAATATATCTACGAAATTGGACCGTAACGCTTGGTGTACCAATCTTGAGTATAGATTATAGTTTAGCTCCAGAGGCACCTTATCCTCGTGCACTCGAAGAAGTGCTGTATGCTTATGCGTGGGCGTTGAAACACGCAAACACTTTACTCGGAAGTACTGCGAAAAAAGTGATACTTGTTGGTGAGATAAAAAAAAATTTTTTATACGTGTTTCTGTGTCGATTGATTGTTAAACTCAAAAATCTTGTATGTGCCGATAGGTGATTCTGCAGGAGGGAACATAAATTTGGGAATTATTTTGAGATGTATGCAATTAAATATAAGAAAACCAGATGGTATTTTTATGGCGTACGCACCAGTACGCATCGAATTTATACCATCGCCCTCTCGTATGCTGTGTCTCACGGATCCGTTATTACCGTTCGGCTTTATGTTACGATGTTTGAAGGCTTATGTAGCTGATAACAAGAAACTCACAAAGTAAGATTTCAATGAAAATTGTACCTCATTTTAATCAACTTACATATTTTTAAAAGTATAGAGCAAATCTTCTAAATATATTCATACGTGTACATATTTCGTAGCTGATACAATGAAAATAATATTTTGCATATATGTAATTTATGTACTTCAGGGAACAAGAGAATGAAGATGTCAAATCGGATACGGAATCTTTTGCAGAAGTGAGCGAAAGTGACCTTATAGCATTAGCCCTGAGTCCAAACGGAGATGGCGCAAACGATGATCAGAAATTAGTATCCCTTCCATCCGATTCGACGTTAAATTCTGTTAGTTTGACAGAAGTCGATGGTACATATAAATCAGGCATATAGTGTTCATTAATATAAATTAACTTCTCAAAAATACATTTCGAAAATATTTTTAATGCGACAGGTACTGAATGTCCGAAAGCACAGGCAAAGTCCCAAGAATATATCAGTAGATTTTTAAATATGTATAGAAATTCCGGCCTTGCTTCAACGTCATCACATGTTGTAAGGAATGGCAGCGTCAGTAGAAATGGTAACAGTTCAGGACAAAGTAACAAATCATGGTCTTTGTTCGGGTGGTCCTTTGGTAGAAGAAGTAGTAAGGATAGCAGAGAACTCAATATGGAGAACGTCATTTCTTCCGAGGAATTCGTCTTTGCGAAACCGAGGGATCCCTTCTTGAGCCCTTATGATGCGCCCGATAATATGTTAGCTAATATACCGCCCATAAAGATACTGGTACTTGTTTGGATTTTTATTATGCTCTAATAAAACGTAATGAATTTTAGCCGTTATTAATATCGAGAGTTTTAAGATGTCTCGTACATAATCGTTTGTTTCTAGACATGTCATCTTGATCCTTGTCTCGATGATTGCGTCATGTTTGCGAGAAAACTTCGCTCACTTGGCAATAAAGTTACATTGGATATTTTACCGGATTTGCCACACGGATTTCTCAATCTTTTACAGGTAAGATACGTTCGTTTTTATTATATATGAATCAATTATAATTATACTATCGCAATATTGTATTACTTTATTATTCATAGACTTCGAAAGAAGTGATGGAAGGTTCAGAGATCTGCGCTAAAAGAATAAAAGAGTTACTGGAACTATAAATTAATAAAAAAAAATTTACTGTTAAAATATATTGATCTAGAACGAGCAGAAGATGTACTTCAGTCTGTTGCAGCAACACCTATTTATACAGCGAATATGATTGTCTAAATACCTATCATTGTTTTCTGCGGCTTAACTATATTTTGTAATATTCAAGAGTTAGGCAGATTAGGTAATAGACAATGCTTTACTAGCATTTTTCTACTGTATTAGCTGCATTAATTATTGTTGTTGTTACATTGATGTCATATATTGTCGTATGAACGGCATTATTTAAAATGATTAGAATATAGTTTGTTCGAATCTAATATCCGACCATGTATTAGTAAAGAACGTCCTATACATATATGAAACCAGATATTTCTTAATTTATTTTGTTTTTTACATATGTAAAATCATGTATTTTTATGAATATATTTATGAGACACTATATAATATATTATGTTGGATAGTAATTAAAATTTTTCTTTATACGTTTTCTCTGCGAGCGCATGCATTTATTCCTGTAATGTTCATTTTATACAATATTTTTGATAAGCAAGATGTAATTTAATGTACAACATATTTGTTTCTTACGAATATATTTTTCAATATGCATGTAATCGTTTTTGATGTCACAATTTTCTAAGAAAAGATGGCTTGAATCCTTGAATGTCGTACAAATTTTTAAGTACATCTGAGTAGAAAGAAATTGATAGATAATAAAAACAATGTATACACAAAAATTGCTGTCTTACTTACAAAAGAATTTTTTTTTGTATATTTTCTATCTTTTAATTTTTCATTATAATTTTATATTTTAGTCCAATTATCTTTTTGCACATGCAAGAAACATATTGCATATTTGCATAAACAAGAAAGATTAATTTGACTCACCATGCCAGACATGAGTTACCTTGTGATTCCATGTGAGAGCTTTGGATTCGTAATCCCAAGGTTGAGAGTTCAAATTCTGCATTCCATGTTTATGAAAAATTTTATAATTTGTACCGATTTCTAATAGTAAAACAAAACCAACTCGCTAGTATGCAATGACAAGGGTGGCGTTCCAATGCCAAAAAAAAGCCTTTTAAAACAATATGAAAATGTCGAAATTTAAATGAAAACTATTCCTGGCGAGTAGTAGAGTGGAAAGCTCAGAATCTCGCACTAATACATCAGTTTGCCTCAAGAATTCTGGTGGAGGCAAAGTTTCGATACACTTCAAGAAGAAAAGCCGAACAAACAAGAACATCTTAATAGTAAGCTATAATATCCACATATAATAAGGCGGGAAGAACACTTAGAGAGTTTAGAAAACAAACTCAGAAATAGAAGAGATCTATGTTCAGGAGTGAATGAAAACAGACTAAAGAAGATGCAGACATAATATAAAATGTTTTTATTGACAGAACATGGAAACATATGTTAGATTCTAAATTATGAAAAAGATAAATTAATGAACAATGCTAATTATTAGTTGACCGTTTGATGATTTGTTTGATTTGTTGTTCGTGGACGCAGTGTTTTCTGCAGCACATGTGCATCCGCTGGTTCTATTCTCTTATAATAATGCTCTTTAGTTTCGACAATCTCAAATCCGAATTTCTTATAAAAGTCAATCGCGCCTTCGTTACTTATTTGAACATGTCTGCGAATATCGAATAATTACGTTAATTTAAAAACTCTTCCAAGACAGTATATGTTACAATAAAAGTATAACACTTACAAGAAGATAGAATCGAAATTGCCATCCTTGTTAACATAGTTTAAAACATGCTGGACCATAACAGTGCCAATTCCTAATCTTCTATAAGGATACAGACAACCCAATGTCATTATATATAAACGCCGAGAATTTTCTGAAGTATCTACACGACAGCAAACTGCTCCAACCTGAAAATCATGCCACAAATTAAAACCTAATTTATATTTTATATCGAACTTAGTATTATACAATAAGCTTTGAACTTTTTTAGACTGTGAAAAGACTTTAATCTTGCTATCCCGTTCGAGTTTATTTGATTCAAAATGTAATTTATTTTCTTATAAATATTTTATTTAAAAATATTATTTTCAGGTATTTGTTTATTAATATATATTTTTAAATGTTTTATTCTTTGGGGTTTTTTTGATTATACTGACCTAAATGATATAATTGTATAATAAATTTGAACAGAATAGCAGAATTGAATAATATAATAAAGTATAGATTTTTTTCACAATTAATCTCTTTCTAAATTAACTAATTTTTATCAAATAGTGTCATGTATCTCGGTGAGATAACCGAATTTTTTTATAAAAGTCAATTGTGTCTTTGTTACTTAATTGAACATGACTGTGAATGTTGGATAATTATGTTAATATTTGCACATCATGATAACCAAAACAATGATGATAAAGGGAAATTTGAAGATTGCAATATTAAACGAAAAATATTAAAGATCTGTGTACCACTATGTCATTGTAATATGCTAGTTTAGCAAGTTCTCCGGCTTCCAGTACATCCTTGTAAAACTTTTCGTTGTACGAGACCGGGAATACGACTTGATTGAGCAATTTCAGCTGCTTTATGTTGTGCGGTGTCACGTCGCCCAATTCTATCTTCGATCTGGAAATTGAATACACGATGACATTACAAGTGAGGATGGTAGTAGCTTCAACAAATTTTGAAAATAGAAAATACGACGTTTGTCGTGCGTTTTCCATACGGAAAAAGTCGACGAAGTATAGTGAAGTAGAAGAAACTCGTAATGTCCAATTGGATATAACCTCCAAAAGTTCGCGCGCTCACCTTGTCATCTTGATGTGCGCCGAGGAATCTCGCAGTCTCGGCGGGAATGGATCAGTGATGCGATTTCCAACCCGCTCGTAGCTGTGGGGGCTAAACGTGTCTCGTTGCTCAACACTGCGCCGTGGTGTCTTGACGCTAACGATAATTCGCTGAAGGCGAAATGGAAAGGCGGGAAAATGCTTAGTCGGCAGTGAAAGGTTAATCACTGAATCTGACTCGAGTTTAAAGATAATTTATCACTGGCTCGAATGAATTAATATGCTAACTCGTGTAGACGTGATCGCGTGCGTATGACATTAATAATAACGGTAACGCAAGACCGGCTATGACACACAGAACATTAGAAATTAATGACAAGATTATGTCTAACGACATGAACAATTAAGATCTCGCGACGTTAACTTAAGAAGGAAAATAATACATCTTACAAAGCGCTACTTACAATTTATCGCCGTGTTTTATAAAAGGTACGCATGACGCACGCAATGCACGCAATACACGCTGGACGCAGGGATATCAATAGCGGTGGCGAGGGAACGACGGTGCTGCTCATAGTGCAAAAAAAGCCGGATTACGAACTGTTGCAAACTTCCGCCACATCTAAACGTCTCTTTTGGTCTCATTTTTTATAATTTATAAGTAGAGGACAAAAGGGTTTTTTCTTCTTCCTGTAATCGCAAAACTGCTGTCATGCATTACTGCCTTTTGAAGAAGTGGATGTAAACTACAGTGTCCACTTTTTTACGACGAAACTGATGGAAATAAATCGCTGAATAAGCACACCCAGCACACCTACATTTGACGCCTTTTACGCCTTACATTTCCGTCTTTTAAAAATAAGTATATTTTGGTCATTTTGGTATTTAATTTTACGAAAAAATGTATGGATTATTGATACCTGTGTTTCTTTTATTGTTATATACTGCATTAATGCTTAATTTTATATTTTTGTTCACGAATTATAAATATATTATAATGATCGAAGGTACATTGGTCACAATCATAAAACTTCTAGAAGACGACTCTTGGAGATCCGTGTTGTAATCAGTCATGTGGAGCATAAATTCTGAAATATATCTGATCCTAAATTTTAAATCATCATTGCAGTATATGTATACTGGAGTTATCAACGGTGTCATTACGTAATTGGGATATTACTCATTTCGTTGGTATGTCGTAGTACATCGCTAGATGGCGCGCGCTACGCTAAACGCCATCTTGATGCACCACATGACCTCGTTGCCGTGTCCCGTGACCAGCTCACGTGAATTTCGACAAATTCAAACGTTTTTTTTTTCGGTGCTGAGGAATGGACATTTTGGAGCAACAACTCGAACAACAGGATGTCAGGTAGCGTTTACATTAAATATCGATTGCACGATATTGCAAGCACAATCCTTTCCATCTCGTCCGAGGTCTCCTCAAGGTCATCATCACTTAGTGCACAGTGCGCACTTACGCCGTAGGATCGACGTACACAATCGTCGAAGTAACACACATAGCGTGTAACCCCATTAAGACAAGATAATATCGCGTCTGAAAGTGTTATTTTGATTTTGCAGCACCGTGAAGAATGACGGTGGTGGTACAACGGGGATCGTGATAGAGGAAGCAGAGATTGTGGACTGCGAAGGTGAGAGCCTTCATTTTCATGACGTCTTCATTTTCTTCTATTCGTAAATTATGACTGGTATTACATAGGCCGGTATTCATAGTTGTTTCTTATTTTAAGATCATCTTAAGTAATATTTTAAGATGGTTAATATACGTCCGTATTCATAGTTAGACCTTATATTTAAGACTTCTTTAAATTTATCTTTAGGTGTTCGGTAGCCAATAAAATAATTCGTAGAGCATCTGAAGATAAACTTAAGGAATTCTTAAATATAAAACTATGTTTATGGGTAACGGTCCTCTGATTGGTCCGTGATATCTTAAGACTGTACTTAACAGTCTTAAATACAATAATCAACTTTGAATGTCTGCCGTGGTTGATTTTTATATTTGAAATTATTCAAAGTATTGTCTTAAGATGGTATGAATCAATCAGAGAATTGTATTAGTATCTTAAGACATTACTTAAGGTTTTAAAATAGGGATGGTTTATGGACGATATTTATAGTTTGTTCCTGTTTTAAAATTCTTAATATCTTAAAATCTTAATATAGTTCTTTGATTGACTTATAACTTAAAACAGTCTCAAATATAAGAATGGATTATAGGCCGGTATTCATAGTTGGTTCTTATTTGAAGACTGTCTTAAGTAATGTCTTAAAAGATGCTAAAGCGGCCCTCTGATTGGTTCGTAACTCTTCAAGACTGAACTTAAGACGGTCTTGAATATAAGAACTGACTATGAATACTGGCCTTGAGTACCAGCCATAGTCGATATAAAATATTATCTATCATTATTGCTATTAATGAATAATGAAGATAATTTTCTTTTTAAAAGATATTATTTTCAAGTATCATTCCCTTTGTGTTAGTCATTGAATGTCAAGAAAGATAAAACGACATTTATATCCACTGTGTTTCCTAAAAGATAAGCAATTAAAGATAAATCACATTTATGTCGATTGCATCTCTTAAAAGGAAAGCCTAAATCAATATTTAGATTTGATATAATGACTCTCCTTTGATGAACTCATGTGCTGTCTAACATTAATTTTTATAGTTGTGTATTTTATTTTTCTCAGGAGAACCCGTTGGAGATGATGAAATGCGTTATCCAGAAACTTTAGCATATCGAGTTGTCCAAGTGAATGGTACAGCAGCGATACAGTCGGCCAATGAGATAGAGATACCTGTATCACAACCAGGAAATAATACTGTACAGGTTTTAACGTCGCCTTTAAATGGCCAGTTTTATGTTATCGGGAATGCCAATGATGTTTTTACTACAGCTCAGGCATCAAGATCCTTGGTGCCAAGAACAGCTACGTTGCAGATAGAAACCCCAAGAAATTGCACTGCTGGTTTGAAAAAGGTTTAATCATCGTTATATTTTTAACTTTTTATGTAATTAATATATCATTACTTTTTTTCTAGTATACAAAAAAGTTATTTCTTTTTTTTGTTTTTTTTTTCTAGAGAGATGATAGGCGGAGAGCAACACATAATGAGGTTGAGCGTCGGCGTAGAGATAAAATAAATAATTGGATTACCAAGTTGGGCAAGATCATCCCTGATTGTAATACTACAACTAATACTACCACCAGCAGCAGCGGCAGCGGCAGCGGAGAAGGGAAAACTAACTATGAAACTCAGGTATAGAGGAGTGAAATTTTTGTTGTATAAATCATTTAACTGTTGTATTAATAATGTTATTTTTCTATAACAGAGTAAAGGAGGTATCTTAGCAAGAGCTTGCGAGTATATAGGAGAATTGCGTGCAGCTAATCAAAGTCTGAGCCAATGCCTGCGAGATAACGAGAAGCTACGGCAAGAAATTATATCATTGAAACAAGTAGTTAACCAATTGAAACGCGAGAATCTTCAACTCAAATCGCAAATATCGTCCTCGACCCCAGCCGATAATAATACTGACGTTATACATTTGAGTCCTTAAGCTTCCTCTAATTCGTGAGTCAGTAGCTCTTTCTGTAAATATTAGAATTTATGAGTTGTCTTCACACAAAAAGAAAACCAATTCTGTCCTTTTCTTTAATGACTGCACCAGTCTTACCAAGTTTTAAGATATCTTGATTTTTTCAGAATCAAATTGGATACTTTAATAGTATAGTCATAACTACACATTTATATTAAACAGTAGAAATGTTCTGAAAATATTCATGTGTGTATGTAGATGTGCCGCTGTCGCTGCTGTTGGTGCTGGTGGTATTGTAGTATTACAATTAGGAATGATCTTGTTTAACTTTGTAATCTAATTATTTATTTTATTTCTACGCCGATCTCATTATACGTAGCTAGCTTTTTAGTTAGATGTAAATCAAGTTTTTCACCTTTTTTTTTTTAATTTTTTAATAAATTATTTGTATTAATTTGACTCTTATCAGTCCTTGTATTACTTGTATTGTAATATTGTCATATTAATTTAAATTAATTTCAAATTTATCAACTTTAATGAAGCAATAAATTTCAATGCGTATTATTTAATAATAAATTAGATAAGTAGCAAAAAGTAAAATATCAGTATCAGTGCACTCTTTGCCTTGATGAAGTGAATGGCATGATTTACGAAACGTTGGCTTTAAAAATAAACGGCAACATGGCGATAACCCACAAATCTTCTGGTATAAAAAGTAAATTTTATATAATAACTGTGTAGTTATGATTGTTACATGCATTGTTAAAAATATAAACATTAAATTTCATATAAAGTAACGGAAGCAATTTTAATAGTATGAAACTTTTTTCTAAGGCCAATATTTATAGTTCGCTCTTCTTTTAAAACTATCTTAAATAATGATTTAGTTTGGTATATATGTATCTGTAGTTAGTTTTTTTATATATATATATATATATATTCAAGTTTTAAGAGACATACTTAAGATAATCTTGAAATAAGAACAGACTATGAATACCGACCAAGATGCTAATGCAGCTTTCTGATTGATTCATGAAATCTTAAGACTGTGTACTTAAGATCAGTGTAAAAAAAACATGTCTACATGTTTTTTTTATTACTATTTAAAACATGTTCAAAACATAAAAAATATATTAGTAATGAAAACAATATTATGTTTTAAAGAAAATGTTCTTTTATCAAACCCTGTGTAAGGCAGTCTTAAATATAAGAATCTATTATAAATATCTGCCTAAGCTTTGTATATAAATATAGACGTGACATGTCAATGTTCTGGCATATGTTGAAACATCATGGCTGTGAGTATCAAACATTGACATGATTTTCTTTTTTTTTTTTGGGTGCAATCAAAATTATCTTGAAAAAGGAAACAATTTGTGTTGATTCACATAAAGAGTCTACAGATGGCAAACGAAATATAGAAACTACGCAGAGGTCGTTAAATATTTTTTATTTTTAATACTGTTTTCATAATTATAGACTAGAATATCTGATAAGATGAGTTTAGGATTTAAATTATAATTGTGATTAATTATACACATAGACATATATGCATATTTACACATGTATGTGTACATATATAAAACATAGACAAACATACATGTGGCAATAACATATTTTTGTCAAGATGATATTCTATGGAAAGACTTCAAAATTTTAATTCACCAAACGTTAGATATCGAAATGTAATATACCGTTAATGTACATATCGCGAGGTTATTGTTATGTAATGATAATGATTAAAACAAGATCTATTAAAAATGGTCTATGAGAGCTTATTTGGCATTGTCATACCCATATATCCAGCAAATTCATGATCTTCTTGTGCATAATTTTATTGTATTTTTTTTTTTTACATATCATACAATGGAAATGATAT